CATCCTTTTTTGCACTCTTAATTGGACGCTGTGGGCTGATAACAACAGTATACCAGTGGACTCACCCCAGGACAATTATGTGGGTCTGACATTTCTAGACTCAGATTGTGACATTAAAAGTCTGGAGCAAATGACTCTAATGGGATGCACCTTTCTTGGTTGGTTGCTTCTACCACTGATTGTGTGGGAAAGACATTTGAGCAAGAACCACAACAACCCGTTCTCCAGTGGCCTTCCCTTCTTAGGCAGGAAGCTTCTGGGGTGGATCTACTGAAAAGGTCCTGCTGGGTTGACTGGCTTTTTTCTCACTAGCCTCTGAAAAAGCAAAGTTATTCCTTTGAAGTTTAAACGTGGCCAGGTGCTGCCTTCAGACTCTGTCAGCTATTTGGCAGATGTGACCTGCTGCCCGAGGGGGAAACAGAGAGAATGCCCAAGGTTGGAAAAGGATCTGGAAGGAGAATTGGAAGGACAGGCCCTCCATTTTGAGCCTGAACTGTCCCTGCCACAGAAGCTAGGACAATACTCCCAGGCCCCTGTTCTGGGGGCCCCTTACTGTGGGTGGCTTCTCATTCTCAGTGGGACCACTCAGGCTTGTGACTGCTTAGAAAAAGCTGGTTTGGCCTTTCCCAAGTGTTTTTCCAAGGGCAGACACATGGTCCCCAATCCCTGAACCTACCTCAGATAGGCAGAAGGTGAGAAGATCATGACATCTGCACACTTCTAGGTCCCTTGAGATGATGAAGACTTAGCTCCTCACCCTTAGATAGTGCCACTGCACTCTTTGATATTTTGAAATCCAGATGCCTTTCTCCCTGCGATGCCACCTCTGGGACATCTCTAATCTCTTCACAGGATAGAAGAACCATAAAAGCCCATTCTCCAGTGGCCTTCCCTTCCAGGACAAGAACACAGATCCAGAAACTTACTTGTGGCAATGGCTCAGGACCTGGCTATTGAACCAGTCTACCAGGGTGTGAGTCCCAGTGCCCTTTGGGCTAGCCTAGGGCCCAGAGGGGACTAACCTAGGGCAGCAGCAACAGGGACTCCCAGGAATGGGAGGTGGGTCTCAAGGTCTTCCCAAGCAAAGTCATGTCATGGGACTATAGGGAGCATGAGATGTTATGATGGGTTTCATTTGTTTTTTGAAATTTTGTTATTATCAGTTTTTCTGGGTGTCTCATGGAGAGACCCTTGCTTGCCCATTCTCAGCCAGTGAGAGTCCCACAGGATTGCCCTGTCCTGGACAACACGGGTGGGGATAACGCAGGTCTGGCTAGAAAAAAACCCTCCTTACAGTGTTCACTGGCACTACTGACTGAGAAAGAGAGGCTCTTCTCTCATGATCCCGGGCACTGAGGATCCCCAAAACCTGGAGATGCTGGGGGCCAACTTTGACATCACACAGGAGGGAGGGACTTCCCAAGGAAGAGTGAAGTGCAGCCACTTCTTTGAACTGCCAAGTAACCTCATGTGACGACCTCTTTCTGTGTTATCTCCTCTCCCAGGAGCTTGGGGCTCTCTTCCTTCTCCCTTCAAGGTATAGTCTAGGTACAATTGACTGAATGTTTGTGTCCTCCTAAAACTCATATGTTGAGATTCTAACCCCCAAAGTGATGGCATTAGGAGGTTGGGGTCTCTGGGAGTGGAGCCCTATCAGTGGGATTAGACCTTTATAATAGGGAAGCCCCAACCCCCAGAAACCCTCTTACTCTCTTTTTTCTGTGTGGGGATTCAGCCTGCTGTTCAGCAGAGGGCCCTCACCAGAACCCAACTGTGCTAGAACCTTGATTTGGATTTCCAGCCTCCAGAACTATGAGAAATAAATGTCTGTCGTTCACACCCTCCAGTCAGTGGAATTTAGTTTCAGCAGCCTAAGTCGATTAAGATAGCTATTGTCTGCTTACGGTAGGGAAGTTGACATCCATGTTCTTCCTGGTAGGAACACCGAGAAACCTGTTGCTAATTGTGATGGAAAAGGAAAGAAATTTCACTTAAATCTGGATCCGATACTGGGTCATTATCTCATTTAAGCCCCAGAGACACCAGCAACAGTTTTTGGCCCCAGGAGTGGTCTTTAAATTGCCCATGATGACTGCCTTTGGCAGGCCAGCCCCCCAAAGCCCCCCAGGAATTGGATGGAACCTATCAGGTCCTGCATTAGCAGCAGGGATGACTGCTCTATGCCCGCCATGTGCCCATGTTCACGTTTTCTACTCCTGGCTGTGTCTGTCATTTGTCTGCATTTTTTAAAAAATTCTTTGCTCAGATTTTTGTTGTTCTGTTTTTTTTTTTTTTTTTTTTTAAACAATTAACTGTTTCCCAGGGCTGGTTTGGAGAACTGCTTCTGGTGCAGAATGTGCTCATCTGCCAGCTCTGGGCTTCAGGGTAATCCTTTCGCCTGAATAACTGGCGGCTGACTGTGGCCAAGCCCGGGTGGAGCTGACCCCAGCGATGGCTGGACGCCAGCCAGGCCTTGCCCTGTCACACACAAACAGCTCTCCCGAAGCCCCTCCACTGCAGGCAACAGAAAACAAAGGCCAGGGAGCAAAGTTAATTTATTTGAAAAAAAAAATTTTAAACAAAACAAAAATTTTATTGTTAAAAAGAAAAAAAGACAACCATTTGCATTTGGGAAGTTTCGCGTTCTGGAAGCCACTGTGCCAGGTTTGTGAACAAGCCTCAAGAAAAATCCTGATGAGGTGGGTGAGGTGACCTGCCACCATCCTCAGAGCAGGACTGACCCTGGCCACCACACTGCATCTGCTCCAGAACCTGAAACTCGGCTCTAATACCCAACTCCTGTGCTCCTCAGGGCCTATTCAACGTGTCCTTTTCCCTCCCATCTCTTCTTTCTCTGCCTTTTGCTTTCACTCGAAGCTCACACTTTCACCTCTGCATCTCCACCCACCAAACTTCCAACAAACAGCTTCCTCTGACAGGCAATTCACATTCCTCATCTCCTTCAAAATCCACTCCCAAGTCCCTCTCTTCCAGGGAGAACTAGTGGTCTCCCTTTGCTCCAGTTCACCTCCACAGAGCGTACCTGGATTGAGGTACACTAGGGATCAGAGGCTGGCCTCTAGGCCTGGTCTTCTGCATGTTGGCTGTGATAGTCTTGGGTACAGGGTAAGCATCCCTTATCTGAAAATCCAAGAGCTGAAATGCTCCAAACTCCAAAATGTCTTGAATGATGACATGTTGCCATGAGTGGAAAATTCCACAGCATGAAACTTCATTTCATGCACATGATTATTAAAAATATGGGATAAATTACCTTCAAACTGTGTATAAGGTATTTATGAAATAGAAATGAATTATCTGTGTGCATTTGGGTCCCATACCCAAGATAACTCATTATGTATATGCGGATATTCCAATAATGAGAAAAAAAATTCAAAATCCAAAGACTTCTGGCACCAAGCATTTTGGATAAGGGATACTCAACCTGTATTTTCTTATTTTTGCAGTTTTAGTTATCCTGCATTAACAGAATGTACTATGCAGCAATAGAGGCTAACGCGTTCTAAAAAGTATATAAATGCTACAGAGTGCGAACAGGGTTTCCTGAGCACTGTCACCCTCAGCTCATGCCACTTCCACCTGCTGAAGGCAGCACTGTGCTTTCAGCTGTTGGGTGCCACCTTGGTGAGGCATCCACCTTGGCACATGGTGAGTGGGGGTTTTTAGCATGGGGATGCAAGTCCCTGATTTTTACATTTATTTGGTGAGCTCTCTAGCCCACAGCACCAGTCAGGGCTGAGCACCAAGCAGGCACTCAGTCTAAAGTGTATTGCTTTGATTCAAGTTTCCTTGGGCAGAATCACTACTAACAATGTGATGGTGACACTGTGGCAGGGTGGTGGAAAAACCCAAGCCTCCTTGTTCATCTGCCTGAACATGACCTCCAGCTGAAGGGCAGTCCTACAGTCTGGCCAGGGGCCCTGGCACTAACCCAGAAGTCCCAGGGCTTAGGACCATCTGCTAAAGGATTTTACTTTCCCACTGGACTAAAAATCCCCACAGAATGGGTGGAAAACATGGCCTTGCTTTGGCTGAACCAATCAGATGAGAACCACAATTTGACATGCAACCCACAATAAGGACACTGCCATGTTATAAATCCAGTGTGGGATCAACCCTGGAATACTTAGAGGGTCACACCTGTGACACACTGTCATAAGTGTGGGACCCTCACTCCCTGAGCTCATCATTACCCCAACATATGGCCTTCTCCTTCAGCACCCTCCCTCCATGGGTGCCTAGAAAACCTCACAGTCCCCCTTCAGAAGTCATCTCGTTTGTTCTTTGCATTGAAACCACCTTAGGTGGTTGTAGAAAACAAGATGACTTTACCCTTTCCCAAAAGCCTACCACACAAATGTTATTCAGAAAATACATCTGGATCCTACCCTGTTTCTAACACATCCCCCACCCTGGGGTACATACGATTCACATTACACTTGATGAAATTCATCTTCTTTTTAAAATAACCCAGCCCTTAGGGCTATGTCATTGCAAACACTATACTGTAAAGTCATTCACAATAGAAACAAAAGCAGTCACTACAGAACTAACTTGAGAACCACCCGGCTGACTCTTGCTTAGACAATCCCAACCTTCTAGTCACTCAAAGTGGGTTTGCCTCAGCCAGACTCATGGATGGGATTGGAAACAACATCCCAGGGCCATCTGCAGCCCTTGCTGACCCCAAAGCATGGAAAAGCTGGTGCTTTGCTTTACATCCATTCAGAGTAAAATACATAATCAATAAATAAGTTCTTCCAACGTGTGTTGCTGGGGAGTTTCTAGCTGTGTGTGGACGTAGCCTTCATGGTGCTCCCTAGAATTCTCAAATAGAAACTTGTTTCTGAAAAGATCCAGAGGCTCTGCCCACCCCACTCCTAAAATCACCCTGGGTTGCCCTGAAGCAAGCAGAGAGGGAGATGGAATGGGGAGAGGACAGGATGACTCTGGTCGATGGCTGAAGAATTTGGCGAGAATCACAGCAACAATCCACTCTGCTGGATGGACCCCCTTTCAGCGAGCGAGGAATCATGTGTATATATATCTTTGGTTTCAAGCAACGTGGAGTCTTCGCCTTTGGAAGGGTGGATTAGAGGAGGGAGAGACATGGACAGAGTCCTGGATAAAGGATGTCCATACAAAGCTCTCTTCTCCTCCAGTCACCTGGAAGCCAAGGTTTCTTCCTTCTCCATGCTCCTTGGGGGAAGAGCAGCGCTCAAGGCTTCAGCATCTGGGGCTGAAGTCTAGCTGCCTCAGCATCCCCTGTAGAGACCCTTGCAGCCTGCTCAGAGCCACTACCTCTGTGGAATAGAGAGAGGCTTCCAGGACACCATCCAGGCTCTCTAGAGTCTCCAGACCACTGGTCTGGGGCAGAGGGCAGCTCTTGGAGGAAGCCAGCAGGCGGAGAAGGTCCCGGAGGTTCTCCAGGTCATTAGATATTTGCATCACATTTTGGGAAGGCAGACTGGTGAGGATCTGTTGGTAGACTGCCAATGTCTGGTCCATTTTGGACAAACTCAGGACCGGGTGAAGCCCAGGAATGAAGTCCAAACCAGTGACCCTCTGCTTGGAGGACACCGACTGCTGTGTAGGAGGAAGAGGGAGGGCAAGTGCTCAGTAAGAGGGCGGAGCAACCATTCTGCACCACCCTCCACTGCCCCAGGAAAGTGGAGGCTCATTCTCTGGGTTGCCTCCTTTCCCCCTTCCTCACCTTCCTGGTCCAGGCATTTATTTCCTGGGCCCAGGTGACAGTGAGTCTCTAAGACGGTTTCCTGGACTCCTGCCCATATCCAATCACCCTACCTTCTACTTCTGACTTATCTTCTCAGGTCATTCCTTTCTCCAAATAGGTTCTGTGAAGACCAGCCATGCCTTCCTATGTTTTATTTAGTTGGGTTTCTTCCTAGACATCGTAGGTCCTCTATAAGTACTCCTTTCCCTGCTGCCCTCGTTCTCTTTCACCCCAGCAGATTCCTCCCTCTCGTTCAGGTTCCCCCTTCTTAGGGGTCAAGGTTACAACCCATTCTTCTCCTTTGTGTCAATGACTCTAGCTTCGAGGAGGGTCTCTCCCCATCCTGGTGACCCACAACTTGCTCTCGACACCACCCAAGTTGGGACACTCTTAACCTCTCATGTGCAACCTTGCTAATTCACTATTTTGAAAGAAGGAGACTTAAGTGATTTTCTCTATGAAATGACCAAGACTCTGTCTAATTCTGATCTATCTCTGCTTCTGGCCTGACTGCCAGAAGCCACTTCTCCCTGACTACCAAGGCCACTGTTAAACACCCACCATGGCCAAAAGATATGGAGACCTCCAAATGGCTCCAGACAGGGGTGCTTGCACTTGCCTTAACTAGTTTGAGTCTTACAACAACCTGGAGGTGACTGCATGAGGTTCCCATTGTACAGATGATGAAAGACACCAAGGAACTCACTTAGGGTCTCGCAGATGGAGAACAGATGTGTGAAGATTCACACTTAGTCTTCCTATTCCAATATAGACTCATCTGGGAAACAGCTGAAGGCCTAGTCTGTTGGACCCCAGAGAAAAGACCAGGGTGGACAGTGACAGCTGTTGACAATTACAGAGAGGGCTGAATGCGAGCAACCAAAATCCCACCTCATGTGGCCTTGAAAGCAGATGGGGAGAGGCTGCAACTGAAACTCTAAGAACCCTAGTGATAAGCACATCTGGAGATGGGCAAGGCCCCACAGGGATGCTGCTAGTGTCTGGTCCCTGTCAACAAGATACAAGGACATTTATGAGTTCCTCTGGTCCTGGGCACTAGGATTCAAAGAAAGGGAGTCAAGAAAGAAGGAGAGGGAGGGAGGCAGAAACAGATGCAGAGTGGAGAGGAAGAGGGAGGGAGGAATTAAGGCTATCACTGCCAAAGTCTGAGGTCTGGGATTCCCCCATGTTACAGTGAAAATAAACACAGGTGACCTCTTAGTACCAGAGAATCCTATAATTTTTTAATGAAACCACAGGGCAAAGTTAAATGCTCTTAAAGTGGTTTAGAATTAGAACCACTCATCCCTGAATCCCAGCAGGCAGAGGGGCCAAGAGAAACAACCAGAAAGAATGGGCATCCTGAGCTTTCAAATCTTCCTAACTTCTAGTAGGTGTCTGGCATTTAGAAGATGCTCAACAAATGTTTCTTGAACTATCTGGTTCCAGTCCCAGTAGGAGCCAGCTCTGGGCTGGCCACAGTTCTTCTTTGTCCCCCCTACCCTTCCCTACCGTGTGTGAAATGTCATTGATCCTGGTGACAATAGTCTTGATGAGGGTTTTGGTGTCATCCTGGACTTTTCGGATGGGCACAGCTTGAACATAAGACAGATAGGGCCAAAGCCACAGGAACTGGCACAGGCGTCCACAGCGCATTTTCCTCCCCAGGATGTGCTTCTTGGGCCTGCAAACAGAGAACCACACATTGCTAGAGCTGGTGTCTCAGAACACACGCACCTGCCCTGCTCCCAACCACATTGCCGGATGTGGGTGAAAATGAGATTTACTTTCTGCCCTGGCTACCGTCAAAGTCAAAGACAATTCATTACCTAGACCTTTATTAATGACATGCATCCCCTTGGGAAGACGATTATTGCCCTAGTCAATAAAACCACAATGACGTGTCCTGAAGACCACAAGCAGAGAGCCCCGCTGTGATCCAATGGATGTGGACCTTTAAGGGATGAGAACAGACTGTTAAGTTCTGGTTTGAATCCAGTCCTTTACTCACTGTATAACTTTAGGCACATGGCCTAACCACTCAAAACTCTACCTTCACCCCTACAAAATACCTATTTCCAGGTTTTTATGAGGATCAAATTAGATAATGCATGTGAAAGAGCTGGAAGCGGTTGTGAGGCGTACTTTTTCACGACCCTATTATTAGAGATGATGTTACTGCCTTGTCCTCCCCATTACTCTCACAGCAGCCTGCTGTCATCTGCGATGGCCTTTATTGCAAGCTTTATTACTTCCTTTCTCTCCTACTGGGAGCCTGGGAATCCACCCAGCACTGCTTTGCCATGTACTAACAAGTCAGATGCAGGGCGAGGCACCAAGGAATCAGGTGAACCACCGATGCCCTCTGCCCTGCAGTGTTTCATAGTTTAACAGAAGAGACAAAAAGTCTACAGGCCATTCCAGTACAGGAGTACAGAGCTTTGAAAAGGGAGCAAAAAAAAAAAAAATGTCAGGAGCCCAAAGGGTCCTCCCCGGGAGGGGTGTTGCTTTGGGCTGAGTATTAAAGACTGAGAAGGCATAAGAGTATAACGTGGTGGCCACAGGTGTCCAGGAGCTCAGCTGAGGAAAGACAGGGGCAGGATAGAATATGACTCCTTTACCCAGAATGCTCGAAACTTTCAAAGCCATGGAACTGTTAGTTCTAAAATTAATAATATGCGAGTCCTTGATCAAGCAGCAGAGTTTTAATGGGATACATGAGGCAAAACGTAATCAAGTTAAATGCATGCAAGTCTATAGCCAATGATCCATGCTAAGTATGTGTGTATGAGCCTGAAATACTAATAAAATGTAAGTAAAAATTAGGATAAAGATTCTGGAAACATTAATCTCTGCCCTGTGCATTCTTTCTCATTGGGGTCTTGATGAAAACAAGTAATGCATTTTCTGTCCATAGGTGGCAATATTAGCATAATTCATTTTCTAGCAATATAATAAAAACAGTCTTTATATATTATCTATAATGCTCAAATATGTGTATTTTTTTCCAAATCTGAATTTTACAGAAGAGAAAAAAATGAGGTTCAGGAAGACAAGACAACCTGCCCAAAGTCACATTGGTTAGTGGCAGAGCCAGGATGTTTATGGAACAGAGTTATATACATGCCCTTTACTCATGATTTTGCTTTCCAAGGTTTAAGTTACCCACAATGAACCATGATCCAAAAATATTAAATGGCAAATTCCAGAAATGAACAATTCATAAGCTTTTAACTGTGCCATTCTGAGTGGTGTGGTGAAATTTTGCATTACTTCCTCCAACCCACGTGGGATGCGAATCATCCCTTTGTCCAGTGTACTCACATGGTATATGCTACCCACCCATTAGTCATTTAGTAGTGGTCTCAATTATCAGATCAACTGCCATAGTATCACAAATGTTTAACCATAATTTAATTTAATAACAACCCAAATTGTAAAAGTAGTATGGCAGGAGGCAAAAAAAAAAAAAAAAACAAACATGGAAGGACAAATAAACTCTAGTACTGTGTGGCAGTGCTGCAGGGCATATAGAGAAAATCTTAGTAATGTCTGCAGATTCAAGTAACTAATGGGAGTCTTGGAACATATCCTCCACAGGTAAGTGGGGGACTGTGATAGTGCTAATCCTTAACACCCTCGCAAAAGGAGGAGGCTATAGAGGAGTCAGGCCTCCAGGTTTCAACAGCCCACTCCTCCACTATTCGTTGTGGGTCTCCAGGTGAGAAATGTAACTTCCYAAAGCAACTGCTTCTGACAGAAAATGGAGTTAACTTCACCACCTGGCTCAAAAGGGTAAAAGAGATGAGCCAGTGATGCCCCTGCACATGGTGTGTGTCTGACTTGGGATGGGGCAGGAAATGCCAGCTGCCTGAAAATGATTGTAATTCCGAGACAGGGCTTGAACTACTGGGGCAATAGCACCTGTAGCCAACTCTGAATCAAGCATGTGGCCCATCTCAACAGGGAACCTGCTATTTCAGGGTTTCCCCCCTGTAGCACAAGATTGAGGTGCATTCTTTTCTAAGATTCCTGTGTTGATGATACCTCCTTCCTGAGTAAATTTATTAACAGATTAACCCTGGTCACATTGCAGCCATTCTCACATGATGGCCACCCTCTCATACCTGAATGGAAAACAGGTTATAAGCCTCCCTTATCACCACTGGTAATATGTTTCAGTGAATGCTGAGAATAAATTGCAGTTTTCCTTGAATGGAGAGGAGGAGCTGTTGCTGAGGAGTCTGCCTAAGATGGGGGGACAGGCTCGGGAACAGCCAGGGGGCTGCAGAGCAAGTGATAACAGGTCATTGAGATCAGAGTGGTGGCAAGCACTCGTTGTGTTGTGCACAACACACAGCACACATAACCTGGCAGTGGAGGCTGCTGGTTGTCCCCAGTGTCTAGTTTTCCTTCTTTGCCAGTTGTAGAATCTACAAAGTCTTAGTCGGAGTGTAAACATAAGAATAAATCCTATACTTCCTGGCTTCCCCCAGTAGCCATGGCTATGAAGCTAAATTCTGGCCAATAAAATATAAGGAGAAGTGTCATGTGACAGTGCTCAGGACCCCATTGTGTGTCTTTGCCTCTTCCTTTTTAATCCTTTCCATTTTGGGGGTGTGCGCACTGGGGATTGAACCCAGGGCCTCATCCATGTGAAGCAAGCACTTCACCACTGAGCCACATCTCAAGCCCTCTCCTTCCTTTGTTCTGATCCCTCATGTAGATGAGGGAGCCAGCATTCCAGCACCATCTTGGATCATAAGGACAAAGGTCTCCCTTATGAATGGCAGAGCAAGGAGCTGCAGGAGCCTTGGTTCCTGAGGACTTCGTGGACCTGGAATTCCACGCTGGCCTTGGACAACTTGTCTCTGGACTTGTGTGTGTGAGAGACATGACCTCTGCTATGTGTGAGTCACTGTTGAGTCTCTGCTGCATACACCCAAACTTCAGGCTAACCAACTTAGCATACCCCAATGTGGACATCATCAGGAAGGAGTGGACATCAAGTGTTCCTAGGTTCACCTGAATCTCAGTACCTTGGGGGGAAGGGAGAGTGACTGGGAAGGGCAGGGTTTAGGAGAGGAGGGGAAATTCAAGACGGTGAATTCAGCTTCAATGAGCGTAGTGCCTGAGGCACAACAATTACTCAAGATATATTTGATGGTTGGATGGTTGGCAGCTAACTCGTATTGATTTCCCATTGTAGGTGTATAGAGATGAAGATGACATTGACCACAGGAAAGCAGGAATCCAAAGATGGGGAGGTTCAAGCAGAGGCTGGGGGTTTTCCCAGGAAGCCCAGGTAGTGTATCACACCATAGGTAGTTATCACACTTTTGACTTTGCCAACTACTTTCATATATTATTGATTAACAATTTTAAAAACAAAACTGTGCTCTTCTGGTTTGAGAATTTGAATAATTAGTTGCAATGCAAAGAAAAACTGAAATTTATGAATCTACAGTTCAAAACTACTTTTGAGTCAGAATATACAGATTTTGCAGAAAGTTAGCTCATCTCTCTGAGATTCAGTCTCTTTAGTTATAAAATGGGGATGGCATCAATCATAATTCCCCCTGTGGCTGTTATGTGGCTGACATGAGATAATGCATATAAAGTGCTAACTCTGTGCCTGGCATGTAGCCAAACCCAATATATGTTAGCTATTATCATTGCTATTTCAGAAGGAATTTCGGAGGTCTTGTGGAAGAGGTGGCATTTGCTAAGGGCCCTGAGAACAGGTGGAACTGGGTTTGTGAAGATGAAGAAGAGAGACAGTCCTGGCAGAGACTGAAAAACACCAGGCAGGGGGGTGGCTAAGAAATGGGTGTCCCCAGCTGGCTCCAGAGGGTGACAGGGAGGAGGGGCCAGAGTGGTCTGGGATTGGGAAGGTGGTGAAAGCCAAGCAGGAAAGTTGCTCTTTCCTCCCCAGAACTGAGAAACAAATGTTTCAGCCCCAGTGACTAGAAAGATAGTACCAGATAGAAAGTGGGAGGGACACATGGAGAAGTTTGGGAAAGAGGAGATCTGGGACATGTTGATCTGCTGATACTGCTGGGACATCAGGTAGCCTCCCCAGCAGCCCGTTGGAACCCAAAATCTAAGCTTAGAACGGCTGTGGGTGTAACCACAGGAGCTGCACAGGAGTGGAGGGAGGGAGCTGAGGGATTCAGTGGGCAGGGAGAAAGGTCAACTGTGGGCCCTCTAGAATTTTCCAAAGTAGGCTTGAACATTCTGGAGCTGTCATATTATAAGAGATGGAAGATGAACTTCTGAAATGTTGAAATATAGCGACCTGACTGTTTACTTCTGGGGACAGTTAAAGCAGGACCTGTGCTCTTCTGGTTTGAGAATTCTGGAGAAAAGAGGGAGCGGTTCCCAGGAGGGCAGGGAGCGGATAGGCCAGGATGGGCGATGGGCCTGGTCCCAGATATGGTCCTCCTCTCTGCCTCTCCCTCATCACCCACTCCTCTGTCTTACCCAGCTTTCTCACTAGCTAGCTTTCCTGCAGACTACCTTCCTTCTCCTTCCATTAAGGCCCTGCGACTCCCATTATCTCTACCACCTTGCCCTCCATGGTGCACTGGAGAAGAAAACAGAGCCCCAGGGACAGCACCAGAGGATGAAATATGAGCACAGTCAACAGGCTAGTGGCCAGCAGGAGGGGCTCATGACCACACC